ACTACCGCATCTCAAATAGCGTTCGTGAGACGAGCATTGGCACGCTCCATGGATCCTATCTACGCTCCGTTGGTACTTGAAAACTCTGCCGAGGGCTTCCGGTCAACGCGAGTCCAGCAACGAGGGCTGCTAGCAGAGCCGTATTTGAAAGACGAAGGGTTTATGATTAGCGCCGTCGAGGACGCTCAAGCACGAGAACGGGAAGCTTTAGAGCAAAAGCGTCTCGAGCGCATCGCTCGACGTGAAAGTACAGCTGCAGCGTTGCAGCGTGAGCGTCGCAAACAGAAGAATGAACACGAAAGTATGGAGATCGAAGAAAGTAGTCAAGCGACTCGAGAAGTGATGGCAAGTATATGCAAAAGCATAGAGGACAGTTGAGAGCAGAAGTTCATTATTAAGGGTTTATAATATGCAGCGGAGTTCTACGGCTCGATCGACCGTGGCTTACATGACGCTGCACTTGGCACCACACGCTGGCTCCAGATTCTCCACTTCGGCTTGGGCCTTCAGCTCGGCTACGTCCTCCTGCTTCATCATCTTGGAGGATGCCGGCGCATTAGATGTGGTAGTAGTCGCCTTCAAAGTGGTCTTGGGCGAAGCTGCCGCCTTCGGAGACAGCACCACAGGTGCAGGTGCAGGACCGTTGATGGCGGGTGTAGGAGGGAAGGTTGATGCGTCGGCCACAACCGTCTTCGGCTCATTAGACGCTGCTCTATTAGCTGTAGTCACTGGATCGGCCTTCACTGAGGAAGTCTTTGTAGTCTCAACTTTGAGATCTTCTTTGACAGGCTCAGTCTTCGTGGATTCAGCTTTCACGAGCTCAGTCTTGGTCACTTCGGTCTTAGCCGGTGATGCAGCTGGTGCAGTTTTCACCGGCGATGGAGCAGGAGAAGCTTTAGCTTTCGCCTCCACAGTAGCAGGCTTCGGTGGTGAGGCAGGAGAGGCCTTTTTGGTGTCCGCAGGCTTCGGTGGCGAGGCAGGAGAGGCCTTTTTGGTGTCCGCAGACTTCGAGTTGGCAGAATCCGCAGGTACCGCCCTCGAAGTCTCATGCGTGGAAGTAGGCGCACTACTTGTCGAAACAGTCGCCTCCGTTTTGGGGTCTTCGTCATCCTTCACAGCTGGAAGCCGTGCAGCCACGGCAGCAGGATCAACAGGACTC